TCCGGGAGCTGCATCCCGCTCCAACTGAGTGGCACGGCTGATCCTCGCTGCCTTCTGCTTTTGCCAGCTGGGAATTTCTCCCATCCGTCTGCGCTGATGCCATATGTCTTTCTCTCTGTGTCCCCATGGCTGCGTCACCTCTTTTGCCAGTGCCGCAGCTCTGTGCTGATCCGGGAAGGAAATTGGAGTCCCTGCAAGGCCGGATGACAGCGTGGCAGGAAATGCCGGCCTGGCTGGGCTTCCCCACTGTCTCTTCTCTCCGAGAAGGAGACAGGGGCTTGGGAAAGCCCTTTCCTATCCAAACCCTCCAGCCTGGTGGGACTCCCTGGACAGACAGCACTGGCAGGGGAGGCCAGGATTGCTCCCAAGAGGATGCATGTAGTCGAGCAGCAGCCTCCTGCAGTGTCCGATGGCCTTGGCAGCCTGACTGGGACTGGGGACAGGCCTCCCCGGTCCAAGAGCCTGCTTGCCAAGTGCTAGTCTAAAATGAGCCGGAGCTGACGTGCTGTGACAAGGTGTCACGGTGCCTGAGGGGGTCACAGCCTGGAGTGCCCAGGCTCAGGTCTAGGCTGCAGGCTCCCAGTCTCCTTGCTGGCTGCAAATGAGGGAGTGCCTGGTCACTAACCAGGGGGAACGACCACAGTCTGACACAGATCTCTGACTCATCAGCTTGCCATCATCCTTACCTGTATCCATCAGCCACACCTGTATCGGAGAGCTGAGCAAACTGCCGCACAGGGCAGTGTATGACTTGCCTGGGAACGTGTGGTTCTCGGTGCCTACGTGGCACTTCTTCAGCTCAGCCCCAGTTAGCTGGGACAGCGTGGGTGTTGTGGGCCCTCCTCCTCAGTGGCTAAGGAGGTCCTAAGCAGCCACCCTCTAGACTGGGCTCTCCCTAGTCCACTGAGATCTAGAAAGGCTCAACCTTCATAAAGCCTTTTTTTTTTTTCCTTTTTTTCTTTTTTTTTTTTTTTTGGAGGGGGGGGTAATTTTCCTTTTTTAACAATCTCCTTCCCCCCCACGGAAAAGAGTAGAAAGCTGCAATGAGGGATAGGGAGAGGTTAGGTGCTGCCCCGGGTGAGGGATGCGGAGCGTTTCTGGGGCACAAGGAGCAGGCAGGGATGGCTGGAGAGATGAGGGAGGAAAAGGAGAAGTCGCCACCATGCGGTGAGATCTCTGCGGGGCTCCCCAGAGCCCACCAAAACTGACCCTCAAATTTACAGCTCTTGAGGGTCAGCTAAAAATATCCCCAGAATCACCCCAAAACTGCACATTCTGGCAAAGGCTCATTCCTGCATGTAAAAACCACATGCCAAAGCCATGATAAACCCACATTCCTCCAACTCCAAGCCTGGCCAGTGTTGTTAAAATGCAGCAGCCCTTACAGCCAGGAGCAATTAAGGAAGCAACCCAGCAATTATCCATACCTATATGACCAGGCATGCATGTAAAGCTGGGGAGGAGAAGAAATAAGTATCCAGCATGGACTCCAGCAAGATAGTTCCCATAGCTGGACTACACCATCTTACCTGGGCACAAATATTGCCCCTCAGCCCCATCTGCCATGATCTGAAAGTCTCAGAAAGGAGAACATTCCTGGGAAATTCCAGCCTGGTAGGTCCCACTGCAGTAGTCTTGCAAACTCTGATTTGGGAAATGAATGAGAGAGGAAGGAAGGAATCTTTCCAACAGGGAATGACATTTGGCAGCGCTGCCTGGAGCCACCGGAGTAAGAGAGCTGGTTGCAATGACACACAGCTGCTCCCATCAGCAGTGTCAGCTGCTGCCAGCAGATCCACCCTCGGGGCCTCCCCAGAGCCCTCATAGGCTCCACAGGAAGCATTGCACTGGGGATTTGATGTTCTTTAAGAGACGGGGCCCTCCCCTTGCTCAGGTGAGAGGAAGGAAGAGGCAGGTAAAGAGGTGGAGCTGAGGGTAAGGTAGTGCTGCTGGAGAAGGCAGTTCCTGGGATTTTTAGGTCAGCTTTGCTCCTGAGCTGAGAGTGCACTGGAGTTACACTGCTGCCCAGGTAATGGGGACAGGTCTCTCAGTAGGGTGCCTGGGAAGATGACTTGGCAGTGTGGGCATGGTGGCTTTTGCTGTGGTGTGACAAGCTGCAATGTGCCAGTCCCTTTGCTACCTGCTCAGAATGGTCCAGGAAAGGAAGGCCTGGGTTGCTCCTGCTTTTGCAGGAGCTGAGCAAGCAGGTCACATGTTAGCAAGGTGCCTCACTTATTCTGGGAGGCTTTTTGGCTGGCGAGGTGGCCTGTGAGGCTTGTTGCCTCTTCCCCCTCTGTGAGGGCTGGGTGGCAGAAGGCTGTCCCTACTCATCTTGGGGTGATCCACTGAAATAGGATCTGAGCCTGGACATGGACCACAGCTTGCCCTGGGTGGGCTAGTTGCTGGGCTAGGTGTATGCAATGTCGGTGTATGCAGTGTCCTGTTAAGGTCCATTGGAGCTCTTGAGCTGCTGGTGTCCTCCTGCATTTGCCACCCCAGCAGGGACTGGCTGGGGGGTATGTGCAGAGTCTGCAACAGCACCGGGATTTGCAGGGGGTGCCCTGGTTGAGGTATGTGCCGTGAGGGCCCCGTGGTAGTTGGGGGCAGTGGGGCTGTCTTTCCATTCCCCATTGGCACAGCTGTTTCTCCATGACTCTGGCCTGGCTTCCACCCTTGGCCTGTGTCATTTCCTAAACCTGCCTCAGCGCCTACTTGGGGTGTCATGAATGTGTTTGGGGAGGCCCTGCAGTGAAGCAGCTGCATGAAGTGGTGGCTGGTCCCCCAGACCCAAGAGTCTGCAGCGTGTCACACACTGGGTCACTCTGCAATGTGCTCCGTTGGGGGCTGTGGTGGCCCCACAAATGTTTCACACGATGTGGGGCTGTTTGAGGGGGGTCATTCCTAATGTCTGTCACCCCCTGGCTCCCTGCATTATGGGGCTTTTTCCTCCCTGTTTTCCCCCCTCCCCGCCATGCCTTCCAGGTCCATCCTGGTGTCTATCCTGGGCTAATCCCAGCTGGGCGCCTGCCAGCAGGAGGGCTGGCCCTGGGTGTTCGCACTGTCCTCCTGGTGCCTCCTGTGTGCACTACAGGAAGGCAGCGCAGGGCCCTGCCTGGCAGCAGGGCCCGGGGACACCGGGCTCA